GTGCTCTCTCCAAGAACTTTCTTGTGCAGAATTACATATTACACTGTCGTGTACAGTTAAATCTGCAAATACGTGGTTAAGTTGAGTGTCATCATCGCCGATAGTGCGATCTGTTATAAAACAAAAAACTGCAACTGCAATTGAATGTATGAATGAAATCGTCAACAGTTTCAGACCAGTGGTGTCAAAATGTCGTTGAGGAATTAGAAAGAAGTGTATGAATGTGTTGAAAGGCAACACCTAACAAAAATGTGAGTGAAAAGGCTTTTTCATGTAAGAATTTGGAAGTGCAAGTTTGCAACTATTAACACCCAGTAGGTGAAGTTAAGTTAATATAATCACATATGGATTACAAAAGTTGCAATAAACATGGAGAAACCTTCAGCTAAACTGAAAAAAATGGATTTACTCAGCCATCACGCATTTTTTTTTTTAAATTTTGGCGCAGATTTATTTAATTTCATAATATTTAATAAACTGAAAACATTTCAATGGCAAGCTGTCACTTCATACTTTACAGTGTTTTGTTTTGAATTCTTTGATGCTATTTGCTGCCAAACATTTGACGGAGAGATCTTGACGCTGATTGGGTATATTTGAGGGACTGTTTAGTACTCTTACCCTATTGGTGCAGAATAACGGTTTGTCAAATGGTGCAATCGGCCCTCAGTCTACCAATAATTAACTCATTAATATTATTCCAATAGGTATACATATTCATATTGCTTAACGTTATATATTTTATATTTGGGTGCTTTCAAATATATCTATACCCCGACTCACTGATGATCTCAGGCGTCTGGGCGATGTTGTTGATATAATATTCAGTAATTTAGCGAAATATTCAGTTCCATCGTTTCTGAAGTCATATGTACAACAATATGCTTTACGAAGTACATTAGTTTTAATCAATATATTTTTGAATCTGTTCAAGTTTCGGGAGTCTAAATCCTTTGTATCAGGCAGTTTGTCCAAAAATATCAAATCGAGTAGTTCGGGAGACATTTTAAATTTTATTCTCTCCTTCTCAGAATCCAGTAGCAGGTAACGTTCACCAACATCAAAGCTCACTTGGAGTTTACCTAATAATAACTTGTCCGACTGTGGATTTATTCTCACATTGTATATACCTCCATACCCTGGACTGTTGGTTTTAAATTAGATATATAGTTATTTATCAAGTTGGTCATAGATCCGGATGTTTCACTATGATTTGAAGTAGACATGTATCTACTCATTGAATTTTCTTCGTCCGCTCCGAGTAAGGAATGTGTGTCAGATTGCGTTTGCATCGGGGCAATAGTAGAAAGTTTAGTATGAGTCAAGTCACCCAATGATACGTTTCCTGAATTATTTGATTCCATAGATGATTGTGGTCTAGGTGTGCTTGTAGTCGGTGGAAATATCTGCTCAAATGTATGGTCATTGAATTTACTACTGTTATTAAGCAACTCAGTTGTTCTTACACCTAATTTGGTCGCATCAAATAATTTCTTTCTTGATTCATCAAATGATACTTTTTTTAGGATGCTTGGACTATCGATTTGGGGTGTTGACTGTTTCGACAAGCTGGATGTAGATGCTTCTGCTATTGTTTTGAGTTGCTTAGTAATGGGCTTATATACCTGCTGCAATGCACTATCATGGAATTCACGTCCTTTCTTGATAGCAATAAATTTCTTCCGAACTGAATCTGCTGCATCTACTAATTCCTTCTTGAGTGCCACTTCGGTGTTATTCTGCGGCCGTTTCATTTTGCTATCTCTTAATCCACCGCGATGCGTACTAGTTGCAGTCCCACTATTGATTGATGGTGTTTCTAATCTTCCAGTGGATTTATGAAACGATCAAACCTCTTCCGGTAACGACCACTTGTCAGTTCGCTATCCTTATCGATGACTAAGAATCCATATTTATCGCTCCAGTACATTGCACATATGCCTTGAAATTGCTTAAAGGTAATATCAGGTGCTACATGATCGGAGAAAACATGAGATAAATTTGTGTTATTCAACTTGAATAAGACAATTAGGTTAGCATTGTCTCTTATTACTCTTTTGGGCACCCAGCTGCACATAATAGAAGCAATCCACACATTTGTGCGTACCCATACTGAAGTATTCTAGAATAGAAGTCTGATTTTCTGTCATTACGTCATCAAAGATGAATATTGAATTCGGCTTGGCTTGCGATCGTGGTAAAATATCCGAATTGTTCGAAGTTAGTAATTTCTGTATAAATTGATATTTCGGTTGATTCAATGATTTTGAAAATATATAGACGTTTTCAAAGAAGAGTCCATTCTCACGTAGCAGTAACGACATTAATACGTTGGTTTTTCCACAGTTCGATGGTCCAACAATAATACAGCGGATTGTGGATGGGAGGAGACTTCCATGCCGCTGCATAGCATTGTTTCGTATATTCGCCACTGTTGTATCAATATTGCTGATACATAATTCTTGTTTCTGTTTTGTAACCCTCATTGTACAACGAGTTGAGCATATATAAACCGCAATTGCGTATGTCTTATTTATTTAAATGCCACTACTTCGCATTAGAAGGTCTCAAAGCACTCCAAAAGCTGGTGGTGGTGGTGGTTTTGTCGATACACTGATAGATAAGTTACCATTCGAAGTATACTTACCTTCTTACCAGTCCTGCGGTCCAGGGACACGTGTTCAAAAAAGGTTAGCCCTGGCTCAGAAAGGCATTAATAAATTAGACGCTGCATGCTTACAGCACGATATCGCATATCAAATATCTGATTTGATAGCGAGACACGTTGCCGATTATCAACTTGAGCCAGAAGCTTGGAAAAGAGTCAAATCTCGAGACACAAAACTGTGAGAAAAAGCTCCCGCTTGGTTAGTTACTAATATCATGAAAGTAAAACGTCACGCAGGTATGGGTCTAGCATCATGTCGTGGACGGAGTAGAAGAAAGTACATCCGCAGAAAATCGAGTATTATGAAAGTCAAACGACGTATAGGTATGGAAGGACATGCATTACGGCGTGGACCTAAAGGAAGGTAAGCTATCCCTAGAAAATCAAGTAGATCACATAAAAAGGTACATTTTGGATCGGGGATAGTGAATAAAGTATGGAAACACATGAAGAGGTTCTCAAACTGTAAACCCGACAAGAGAGTATTAGCATTAACGCTGCGTTACTTGCTGCCCGGAAGCATATCAGACCCATCGGTGGAAAACGGCTGATTAGGCTCCCAAGGTTGGAGGCATCCTTCCTTTGATACCAATTTTTGCCGGTCTTTCAGCATTAGGAGGTCTAGCTGGGGGTATTGCCAACATAACAAGAGCTGCTAAAACAGCTAGTTCAGTGCGTGAGCAAATTCAAGATAAAAGCACTTGACCACCTTCTTCTAATGTGAATCGAATTGGGGATGGTCTCTTTCTGAAACCATACCGTAAAGGATTGGGGTTATTCATCAAGTTAAGGAATTCAAAAAACTATTGAAAACCCTTCCCCCTCGACCGCTAACAAATATATATCTAATCTATTATGCTAGAAAGTAACATATTTCAAAGGAGTATTTATGCGCGATGAAATGTCCGAGCAGGGTCCGCTGAAGAATGAATCAGTCATAATAACAGTTCACTACGTTTTGGTGTGGTCATTTGTGTCTGCGATTTCTGTCTGAAGAACATCAGAGCGCTGGAGACAATGGATCACGAAGGATTGAAAAAGATTAGAGACTCTTAAAGCCTTTTCAAGGGAGAGAAGCCTGTTGAATAATATGCCGCGAGATGAACTTGCACACATACCGAAAGAGGTACTCATATGTTGCACGCCAAATGAAATAGCGCATGTATGGAACAAACTACCGGAGCATTTGAAGGAGGACGCTGATATACAGCGATTCCAATTCTGCTGGGAACATGGAATAAGCAGGAGTGATGATGAAGCAGATGGACCGCCACCAAGAAAAATACTTTGTTGTTATTGTAACATGCAAGATATCAATGTTAAAAATACATCTGAATCAAACAACTGTTGTAACCAATAAATATTTGTTTACCTATATAAGATATGTATATAAGACCATGTTTTCATTCAACTCTTCAGTCATGTCTAACACATTTACTCTAACGGGTTACACTGGCAAACTGTCTGATAATTTTTATCGAGTTGGATATAAGAGCGGAATACGGTCTGTGGTTGATTGGCTTTTATTCATATAACACCGTATACAACATTGATGATCAACATAATAAAATATCTCTTACTCACGAGAGTGACGAGATTAATGTGGTAACCCTTCCTGAAGGTCTTTATGAAATCGAAGATATCAATAAATGCATACAACATGAAATAATATCAATGAATGATACATATAAAGAGAGATATGAATACAAAGTGGATGAAGTGTTCTCTTTGAAAGCACACTTTGAAGTGTGAACTCCATTCTGTATTCGATATTGCTCTGTCCAATTCCATGGCAACTTTGCTTGGATTTAAGAACAACATTTTTCCCAGAAACAAAGTCTATATACCGAATTTACCTGTAAAAATAACCCCCATCAGGATAGTAAGAGTCGACTGTGGATTAATATTATTATTATTGCATTGGTATATATTTGATATAGATGTTGAACCGGGATTTAAATTAACAAAGGAGCCTTAGAATGTAATATATAGGAGCGTTAAAGCGCGTGGACGCCAGTTTATTGATAACATCGCACTGGAAATTTTGGATGACATCAGGATTCTGGTCAATTTCCGTGGTGAAAAAATTATAGTCAAATTAGAACTGTGACGCCTGTCTAGTACCAGCTGAAGACGATGGAATTTCTATATAACCTAGACATATATCATTTGCAGAATGTAGAAAAAGGTCGCACAACTAATCATAAAAGACGAAGAACCAATGAAAATTCCGTTATTCGTCGTTCAACCATCGTCAAAGACACAGCATCGAATATTTCATTGCACAATCGCAAGTTCCTGGAGTCTATAGGGCTGAAACTAATCAAACAATATGGTTCTGCACGTATCAAATGAGAAATTGGATGTTTTTGAGGAACCCATCATAGATCATTCCTTAGCCAGCCTACAAGAATACACATACAAATCATATGGATCACCATATTTCAGGAATTCAGATATAGTTCAAATCCCGATAAGCTTCCAAGATCTTATTTTAAACATTGCTGACAGTTATATTAACGTCGAAGGAACATTTACGCCTAGCGACGCTACGAAACCCTGCTACTTATCAAACAATGTCTTGGCCTTTTTATTTCAAGAAATTTCCCTACAGATGGGTGGCGAAAAAGTTTATGGAGTTCGGAATCCAGGGATAACTTCAACTATAAAAACGATGGTGTCACATAGTAAAAGTGCTATGCATACACTTTTATGTACTGGTTGGGGCTTAAGTGCCGAGAACTCGGCTATATGTGATGACAAAAGCAAAGTTTTCAATGGTAGGATACCCCTAAAACATATAATGGGATTCGCAGAAGACTACAAAGAAGGGGTTCTAAATATAAAACAAGAGCTTCTGTTGGTTATTGCAAGATCCTTCAAAAACTGTTAGGTAAGGTGAATGTGATGCTGAATTGACTATATCCAAGATTGAATGGAAGGGTTAACACATCGTTACAAAGTCAAGCTTCTGCAAAGGTTCAATAAACATGTGAGCTCAAGGATCAAGGTAGCATTTCGATCTTGGGATCCCTATGAGCTTCCATCTCTTCGTTCTACATCATCGGATGATTGGGCAATTAGAACAACCAGTAAACTAGAGAGACCTCTATTCGTTATCATTGGATTTCAAGATTCTACAGTTGAAGAAAATCATTCGATGGAGCTAACGAAATTCATAAATGCCAACGTTAACTCGAATTGCTTGAAGTTGAACAACCAAGTATTTCCATATGAAAGGTGGAACTTGAATTTCGAAAAAAAAGCTCAACACCGCAACTTATTATGCATTTGAGAACTTTCAAAAAACATACTACAACCGGAACATTCCTGAACCTATGATGAATATTAAAGAATTTAATGACAATCCGCTATTCGTTATTGATTGCGGCCATCAACCTGATCTCTTTCCAACTTTCAACTGTCGTCATATCTTTGGAATTTTAGACCAGGAAATCTGCATTTCCATTCCACACCAATGTGTATGCATTAGCTATTCATGATGTTACGACCTTTTTTTTATTGTAAGTTATAGTTGCATAGATTTTACGAATTAGGAGGTTCTCTACTACTTACTCGTTTGCTAGTTCATAAGATACGATATAGATAGATAAGAATATAGGATCTTGCTAAAATGTATTGTGTATAGGGGTATATAGATTGTACATAGCATTTTAATTCCTGTTTTCACCTGTTGATCCGCTAACTTCTGGTGGACCTGCGAGTCTGAAACAAAACTTAATAAGTTTGAAGTCAAACTATAGTACTTGTTCTCTTTTATAAATTAGTGCCCCTGAAGCCACCCTAGTCATTAGAGATTTTTTCGCGAGATCCCGTAGTGAACCGGAGCGGGAACAGATGGAATTTCAACTTCCTCTCGAAGTTTTGACAGTTTCAAGTTACACCGGGAGTGGTTAGATGGCGCATGTTGCGCAAAATGTTTGCTTTAAGCTCCTTGATAAACTTAGCTGCCCTGTTTGAATCTGAAATAAAAAGACCTATCGTTTTTTGTGCAATGTACATATATATCAATAAAATCAATCATTTGATATGACAAGTGCGGTTCATATATCTTCGATGACCTTCTCCCTCGTCATTTAAAATCAGGTGGACGTGTTCCTCTATTTATGATTTAATAATTTAACTCAATTTTCGGCACTGTGAAGACAAATTTTCAATAGACAGCCTATGTCGTGACGTCACAGTTATGGGCGGAGCCGAAATTGACTCCAAACTAATTCGTTTGCAACGGTAAATTGCCATAAGGAATTTTTCGTTTTATATTTTTTGGGCTTCTATAACAAAATAATCATTATAGTGTGGATATTTCATTAAAGCAACGTATTGGTTAAGTGAAGTGTATAAGTTTTTGGGCAGGTTAGTCAGTTTTATGCAATAATTGTGCTTGAAAAAGTTTGAAGGTTATGATTTTTGTTTTGTTATTATTAGATTGTGTTTTAATTTCCAGGTATTTTGAGCAAAATGGCTTCAAAACATGTTTTAAAAGTGTCTTCTATTAATGGTTTCTTGGATAATGACAACAGGACAATAAAAAAGGGAGAAAATGCGTTAGAATCTAACCATGTCAAGAAAATGCAGTTTGACTCTAATTTAATGATAATAAGAGGGGAAATATTAGCCAGTATGAAAAATAAAAGCTATAATGTAGAAATAGGTATGATTATCTTATCTACTTATTATACCGAGAACTGATTTTTTCTTGTAGAGTTGAAAAAGTGTGGCGATATTCAATCGGCAAGATGTAATTGTCCAAAAGGAATAAAATGTCATCACATTGCAGCTTTGGCAGTTTTTGGGCATTACAATATCTCAGTAACAGATATAGCTTGTTTATGGAATGCCCCAGCTAAACCTAAGTCTGAGCCGGTCAGTGGCGGTTCCACTGTAGGAGCACATGAACACGTGCACCCCCAAAATAAATAATAAAAAATATGTATAATATCCATTTAATAATTTCTCAAAGTCTGAGCCTCCCTGATGGTGGGTTCATGCAAGACTTAACGTAACTTAACTTAAGAAAATGAGCATTTAAAGAGCATGCGCGGCCAGGATTGCCAATGTAGCAATGGCGACAATGTCAACATTAAACACACTAACAAAATCATATGTTTAACGTCAAGGTAGCAGATGAAAGAGTGTTTTGTGGCTTTTGTGTCACGTGGACTGGCGGACCAGCCTTGACATTGACAAGTGGCCCCTCGCCACACGCTTGCGCCAATGCACTGGTAATTAGTCACAGAACTCGGATAATAGTCCAGATAATATCTGAACATCTGCTCGGAAAACTCTTCCGATTCCTATTTTTGCATAATCTGATTCAAGGACCTCTTAAAGAATCTGCATGTGACTAGGCCCAAAATTGCTCCAAAAATTGTTATTAAACCGATTCCAAAAATTGATTGGTTCGCTTTGTTTAAAGTATTTTGCGGTTTTTATGACATTCTGAATAAAAAATGAGCTTTAGAACTTATCTCTAGACTTGATATATACAGGTATAAGCAATGTAAAAACTCAAAATATGTCATTTGCTACCCTAAAAACAATATGAAAAATGAATATTTTGATGTTGCCAAATCTCTCACATACTTCAGCCAACCAATAACAAAACCCCCAGAGCATTTTAGGGAGTACACTTATTATAAATATTTGCATAGTAATTATGAATTAAATGCGCGCTCAATGTATAGTCTATGTCTATGTAAACCCGAAATATCTCTCGTCCACGCTGAATATGCATTGAGCGTCCGCTTGGATATCAATTGAATACAAAGATTTATAATAACAGTATCTCCTAAAAGGAATCGTTAATGGTTATTTATGAAGCATGGCGACATTAACATTTTCGTTTTTTCAGATCGTTTTTCGGCATCGCAAAATAAATTTTTTGTACTTTCCCATCTCGCACAAAATCAACTTTTGTCAAACATCGTTTTGTTTCGGAGTATCAAAAAAAACGAATGCTACCTTTGATGAAGCGAAAACATTAATTTTTGTAATTTATTTGAAAAAGTTGTCCAAACAATTAGAGACGCAATTTGGAGCCTGACAACATGTAGATTTGTTACTAGGAGGCTTTTTCGAATAACATGCAAAAAGTCCGAATCCGAATATTTTCCTGAGCAATGTGAAGATATTTTTCCTTGGACTATAACGACGGCAGCGCTACCTTTCTTGGCTGGAAATCTGGTGGAACTAAAAATATTGAAAGTATGCCGACAACGCATATCAGGAATGTCAGGAATGTGTCGGCGATTTCAGTTGTTTACATTACGAAATCTGGCTGATGACCTTTCCGATATTGAGGCAGTTCGATGATCATAGATGCATAATACATCCTCAATAAAGGGAGTATTTCTTTCATCAGTTTGACTAGTAATTAATTTCAGGATAATAAAAAAATGTATAATTAAAAAAATATTTATTGAACAGTCCCAGCAATAATAGAACAAATTCTTCGTTACAATAAATTGTACATACATAGAAGTATTCTACTCATCTGGATTTTTCTCTATATTATGAACCTGATCAGTGCAATATCATGCAAGCACTATCTCTTGTTAATTGATTATGTATATTTATTGCGAAAACTTAAATACTAAAATAACAAAAAATACATCTGTAGTTAGAGGAATGACTGGAATACAAATATAATCACTCTCATATGTGAATCAAAAATAGTTTTGCACACACTGTTAATGGGTGAAGGCAAACAAAATTGTCCTCAACAAAAAAAAACACATAAAACACTAATTGTTTCTTGAAACTAGGAAACAAACTCCTTACGTCATTGACAATTAATTTGGTATCCATAAAATAAATGACGATCTTCATTCCAACTGTCTCTTCGAAGGATGTTGACACTGTGAAACAAAAAAAAAATATTAGCATAATATCACTGTCATATTTGCTCAGCAAACACTAAACAGAAACATAGTCATCTCACCACGCCCCTTCAGATGATACTGCTCTGTACATATTTATAAATTCCCAATCTAGCAGTATACATTTGATTGCCAAAATTCTGTGTGTAAACAAATTTTCATTGGTGATACCAAACGCCAGTCCTTAATTTGGCCCTTTGCCAGATTTGTTATGACCAACAGTACAGATGTAAAAAAAAAAAAGTTACGTGCTACTCATCTGTTTACCTCAATAAACGTCAAAAGAGATTACATATTTGGTGGGCTGCGAATACACAGCATTCGCCAGGTGTACACCTGGTTTGTTGTTAATGACAAAGTACCTTCACAGTGTTCTGGAAAAACATGTCATGGGGGGCATGGTATACATTTAAATTCTCTTTTTTCTTCTGTAGGGGCTATAATTTGCCAACATCACCACTGGTATAGTCTCAGACATGAAAGTGTTCGCATCTATCATCTATGAAGTCAGTACTACAAGCACAAAATTTTAAGATCATTTTCATTTTTTTTTTCGTTCTCTAGAATATAATTTCAAAATCCTCTATCTTGGTAAGGGGAATTTAGGACCCATGTTTATTTTTTTCATGCTGTTTTTTTATCTACTTTATGCTGTAGCAATAATGATATGTTTTGCTGAAACTACCACTATACGCACTTTGTTAGGGGATGAAGTAAATATGACCACTGACTTTAATTATTATAATTTTTAACATACATCTCTAATTTTTTTTATCAATCCGCCCCGATGTTCAGCTCTAAACTGTCATGCGTAAGCAAGCGCAAATAATGTTTCATACAACTATCACCGAACCATCTACCCATACAGCGATATAAAATCGATCAAACATCACGATATAAATATCGACTATCGACTTTTGTACAGTAATGATGGCTCGTACCCATCTAATTCCAGCTGTAGCGATCAGCTGAGCAACGCTAGTGATCCGATTGGTTGGTTCTTAAGATAAAGTTCAATATGTTGAACTTTATTTTAAGAAGTGACCTTGAAATAAGAAAACGACCATAACCTCAATATATTTAGTCATTTATGCAAAAGTGAACTGATTTGGATACTTACGTCATCATTAGGCGCTCCTCTGGCGATGTCCGATTGCGTTCAGCTGCCTTCTGCAGGTACCTCTTCAACAAGGTCAGAAGTTGATACCAGCGCGGCTTGTCGTTTTTTTTGCTCTAGGCATGGCCATCCTCAATTAATCGCACAAAAAACAAGTCCTAGGCAGAAAAACACACCCGAAGACGAACACCAAAACAAATTTCTACCGCAAATTCGTCAACAACTCAAACAAAAACAACAGATGATTCACCGCCTGGCTTTGACCGTAAATCGTCGTGGAACACGAGACACCACAGAATTATTATAATTACGTCAATAGGAGCATAGAACAGTATAGAAAGGGCTACCCAAGGGTAAGACGAGTTCCGAAACCACACGAACCATGTCAAAAAATGGCTGTGACGTCAACAAAACGTTGACCATATCGATGGTGTCAATGCAATACCTCGTACCTACGAAATGTCAAAATTTCAGGAGACAATGTTTTGCATAATAATTAATACTTGTAAGTGTTTTATTTAGTTTAACATTGTTCTAGGCATTGAAACAAGCGAAAAAATTATTATTTTAAGTTGTCTTCTAAGAAATAGGTATTTAGTAATTATTATGTGAGATACGAAGTATTGCACAAAATTTTTCGTCAACTTTGGAACTTACGAGGTATTGTACTTATAATGAAAACCCATTTAGATTTTAGAACAATTTTATATCAAATCCATTAAAATACAAAATAGAAGATACACAAAAACTATATCCAAGTTACAGTAAAAAAATGAACAGGAAACAAGGAAATATAAAAATAATAAAAACCCATTTGAAAGGTAAACTGTCATAAAATGGCCAATAATTTTGACTAATTTTGGTTTTTATTTCTTGTAAATGATCGTATTTCTTCTTTGCAATTGGCAGTTTGTGCTCAAACAATTGGAGAAATTGGTTTATGTCGTTTGGGGTCCTTCTTGGACGATGAGGTGATTCTGCAAACTCTTGGTCGAAATTAATTTTGTATGTTATCAAGCCTTGTTCATACTGCAGTGCCCTTATCTGCGTGACTGTCGGATCATTGGATTTTTTACCAGGGCGGATTAAATAGTAGACCAAATCGGCACTATAGTTTTTGAAAAAAGTAAAATCTGGAGTTACGACTTCATAAGGAAATGGGTTTTGACGCGCTTCTCCAGTAAGACGATAGTAATCATTTGGTATTTCGATGTTCTTATTTTTTAGCTTTCTTTCAATAACAGCATGAACACTATCACATTCCATTTGAGAATGACCTTTAATCAAGAACTTTTGAGTTATTTGCACATTATATTGGCGTGATAGACTAAGCAGAGCATTTGCCATGGTACTGTTTCTATTCTGATATGTGCAACCATCAGAATAAATTATTATTGGTTTTATGTGGGCTGCATTTTGAAGATACTTTTTTGTTAAATAGTCTACAAGAAGTGATGCAAACGTGGACGCTTGAAGATCTGCGTCCAGCTCAGTGAACCAATAGCAAGTACATTGATTTGTAGCTAGATCGTATACAGTAAAATTATGGCATACAAGCTTAGTTTTAAAGTAAAGCAAACTCGCTTGTAAATAAGGACAAGTTTTAACGGCTTGCAGATCTACTGTAATAACATGACAGACTCCCTGCATTGCTTTTTCTTTATCATCATTTTTTTCTTTTTGAGGTCTCTCTTTGTCTGTTCTATGTTGTTCCCAGTCTTCTAGGATTAGATTTTGAGATTCATACTGTACACATGTATCACACCGATCCTTGCGAGGCTTGAATATACCAATATTCTTTTTATGTACCCACTTTATTAATGTATTTCTACTGGCTGGTGCTGTGTTTTGTGTTTTTGAATAATCCACGAAAGCTTTATATAAGTCTGAGTAACTAGAAAACTCATGTTCAAGGTACAACTTTGTAGTGTCTTTCCGACAATAGTGACTAGGAAGCTTTGGCAATTTTTCTAGAAATGTTGTTATAAATGAATCATTTTGGGATTTTCTGGGTAATCTACGACTGTTAGTTTCTGCTCCACTGGAAGGTGTACCGTAATGCGATGTCTCCACCCAGCTCTTTACACTCCATTCCCCAAGCCCCAGAGTTTCCAAAAACATTTTTTTTACAGACGGGTATAAGCTTATCACCAACATTCAAGCTATAATATAGGAAGCAGGAACGACGAGAATTTTCATCTTTTGTTTTTCTAGATGTCTCCTGTCTTGAAACAAGGTTGCAGACATATACCTTCCTTTGGTCCCAACTCAGGTTCTTCCAAAAAGCTGTAAAAATTTCTTTTCGTGCTTCTTCTCTGATTTCATTACATTTTCTTTTTGAGCTGTTCTTAAAGGTTTCTGAGTTACACCTTTCGCCTTGTTTCCGCTCTTCTCTTTCTATATCTTGAAACGTTCTTTTTTCATTTCGTGGTCGCCTAAATCCTGTATAAACCATACCCTTCATTCTAAGTTCCTTATTTCTTTTACGTTTGGACCCAGACTGTGAACTGAAATTATTGTTCGGTTCTTCGTTGATGATGTGGATTTGTTCCTACGTCCTCCACTGTCGAAGAGCTTCTGTTGGAATGACACATTGAAATTTGATTTATATGAATAGGTGCATCTTCAGCGGAAATGATATCGCGCTGTACCCTTGTCTCTTCTAAAACACCATTTTGATCGGCAAACACACTTGAGGAACCTATTACTGAGTGATTATTTATAGCATGTAGGCTGATGTCATGGATTACATTCTGTACAGAAAATGGCACTATTTCATGTTGGTTGGTGTCTAAATTTTCAGGCATACTTGTAGTAGGAGAACCATCGTTCAGATTTTCGGCTACTGCTAGTTCGAAAGCGTGTGATATAGTGCTATTCTGTAGTTCAAGAAAATCTGATTTAGGACTACGTGGTTCCTCTAAATTTTCTCTGCTATCCACATTATTGTCTGTATTATCGAAAACTATCTCTGCTTGGTCTATTAATTTTTCAAAATCCATAGTTTGCTGCTCTTGAGTTGGAGAAATATCTGAAACAATATTTTTCCAATCAAAAAACCTATAGGAGATAATTTTTCCTCAAGTACTACTATGATTTAGGAAAAAAGTTGTTCATTTATTTCACACATGACCAACCAAAAAAGTATCCAGTAATTGATATAATTATTATATTTAAACCTTTAATAGGATGGGCGAGGAGGGTGAATTTTTAGCCGTCACAATGTTTTCTGGCATTATAAAAATGTAAGAGAAACGAAGGGAAAGCATAACTGATAAGAAAATAAGACATCAAATCAATGGGAACTTTCATCTAATCCTATGGTATACATTCTGTTGTTAATATATAAATAATTATAACTTACTTGTGCTTGACAAGGACGCAGCTTGGCACATTTCCAATATTTTTTTGCCACGCATCTTGCAATTTTTGATCTATAACAAAAATAACAAATTGCAAGGAGAAGCACTTATCTGACATGCAAATTCATATTTTGACAGGTCAATAGCACGTATCTACGAAACAACTACTCGTATCGCTAGGCAATAGCTTGTATCTTCTAAATAAGAAATATTTTGTCAATTTCAATGTCACGTATCTGCCACAACTACATAATACAAGCTGAAACAACATTAATTGCTACTTTTCTTGCCAAATATATCATACAACTACATGTTTAATATATATACTAATACCTACAACAATTAAATCAAATATAAAACGATTTCTTACCTTATTTTTCTGCGTTAAAGCATCAACACTCACATAAACACTCTACAAAAGACGCCATATTTTTAGAGATACGAGGTATTGCACGAATTTGAGCGGGAATTATGGGTAAATGCAAGCCAAAAAGGAACCGTTTGTTTGTTCAGCACTGTCATGCTCTCTAGCTCTTTGTCTATAGCGGGTAATTCAAATTTATCAAAAAATGGAGATACGAGGTATTGCCTTGACACCATCGATATGCGATCATGTACGCGGGATTAGTGTGTTTCTCTCCCTGCTGTTCTGGTTGCGGGGTATAGCGGGGTTATCGCAATTTTAATTGGAAAAGGCGCACACTTCTGGAGTGCGCCATTGTCCGTTGCGCGTGCATTTTATGCAGTAATTGGAGGTGTCTTCGAACTTTTATGTTCGTAGCAGTATTTTAATAAGATATTGAGTTAAAATGAATGGTTTCACTGTGGAATATTTGAAACATAACTTCAGTTCATTGAGTTTGGAGCAAAAATTTGAAATAAAAAATGCGGGAAGACCTACAGCAGAAATTAACTTAACTCAGACCACAAAGGTAAATCTAGAGACTTTATTAGAAAGTTTAAAATGGAAATCTATGAAAATAATAACTGGATTTGTGCATGCAGCACAACAAACCGTTTGTTTTGTTTTTGTTTTTTCCTGTTTGTTGTTTGGTCGCGGGGTTGCAGAGCCTGCCTGGACAAAAAAAGGAATAGCCGACTTGGGACATTTAGTACAAAAAATTAAGAAACATGAAAACACTCAAGTCCATATCAATGCGCACGTGGAAATGCAGCTTTTGGGAAAAGTAGATATACGGCAGCAGTTGGTCAGTGCATATAGGCGCAGTATTCAACAGCAAAATGAAAAAGTTAGAAAGAATAGGTATGTGCTTTCAAAAATTATTGATTGCATAAAATTTTGCGGAGCTTTTGAAGTAGCCCTCCGCGGTCACGACGAAAAAGATGGTTCATCAAATCCTGGTATTTTTAGAGGTTTCGTAAATTTCACTGCCGAATTAGATATAGCACTTAAAGATCATTTTGAAAAATCTACATTATTCAAAGGGATATCAAAAACCATTCAAAACGAATTGTTAGATAGAAAACAATCTGTTACCATCAATCAAGCCACTGGTATTGGCCGTATTCTACAAGATTCTAATTTAATTGGAATTAATTTACCGGCGACCTGATTTCAGAAATATGAGTGGTGTCATTAGTTTGTTACAGTTTTTTATAGAAAATAATCTTCAGAGCATATTTTTGCCACCTTTACACTTTTACAAATAATTGTTACCATACCAATGACTACGGCCGAAAGTGAAAGATGCTTTTCGACATTGAAGAGAATAAAAACATTTTTACGAAGTTCTATGAATGAAGAAAGACCCTAGCAATGCTATCTATCGAGAAAAAATGTATAGTGGGTATTCCAAACTTTAACGAGGCTGTTATTGATAAATTTTCTGCAAATACAAGCGAATGGACTTTACGTTTAAACACTGTACGCATTAAAAAAATTGTATTTTTTATAAATGTATTTTATTGCGTATAATAGAAAAAATAACTAAAAATGTGTCCTTGATGCTTGTCACGCATAAGAAAAACATTTTGGTGATGACAAAAACAAAATTATTTCATACCACTTGGGAACCCCCTGTATCATAGACCACGAGCCGCCGCTGGAGCCGGTACAATCTGCTGAAGAACTTTATCCGCCAAAGCCATATAAAGCTCTTGAACATCAAGTACCAGAAAAATCAGTTGAAAGATTGAGGGAGAAGCTAGGTAGCTTTGGGAATACTGTGGGATTTACTTGGTTGTTGAACAAGGAATCTGAAAATCCTGTGAATAATTTCCCTATGATTGAAGAAATTATTTCTTCCAAGGAGTTTTTGGAAGCCACAGATAAAGTATATCTTCAAAGAAAAATGTGCCATGGATGATAACTCAATACTTGACATTGCTGCTGCCACTACTGGTCAAGCTTCAAATGAAAAGTGGCATTTTGCCAGAAAATTTAGTTTGACTGCAAGTAGTTTTGGATTGATAATTTCTGCATGCGTAAAAAAGAGGTTCCCAGATAGTTTGTTCAAAACACTTTTAGGTGTTTATACAGGGTGTTCCATAATTATTGCGACAAAATGATAGGGGTTGTAGAGGGCATCAAAATGAACAATTTTGCCTTATAAACCCCTGTTCGGAAATATGCCGTTTGGGCTACAGCAAAAAAAAAAGATCAGTTTCTTGAAACAGCTTACCTACAGTAATTGCTCAAAGTGTCCTCCACCTTGCTCAATACACAGCTGTGCACGATTGTTCAATGATCGGCGAACTCTGTGGCATACCCCCGGTATGTCCTGAACATGTGCGGACGCGACCATCACTCTTCCCAGTAGGTCTTGTTGGTTGGGAACAGGAGTTTCGTACACTAAAGCTTTCAGATGGCCCCAGAGAAAATAATCCAGTGGGGTCAGGTCGGGTGACCGCGCAGGCCAAGGCACAGGGCCACCTCGGCCTATCCACCTATTTGTCGTCCAAATACTGCCGCACTTGTAAAGAAAAGTGGGCTGGAGCGCCATCGTGTTGAAACCACGTGTTGGCTTTATGTTCAGTGGCACATTTTCTAATGGTTCCGGTAGCACATGCTGTAAGAATCGACCATAAGCATGCCCATCCAAACGTGGTGGAAGCAAATATGGCCCGATGATATGCTCGTCCACAATACCGCACCAGATGTTAATTGAAAACTATGTTGGTCTCTATGGATGACTATGGCATGAGGGTTTTCTTCATCCCAAATGTGACTGTTACGGCTATTAAAATAACCGTCCTTTGTGAAACAGGACTCGTCAGTGAACAAAACGTAGCGACCAAAGTTTGGTTGCCTCAACTCCTGCTGCAGCCACCAACGACAAAAACGTCGACGCGGCAGATAGTTTTCTGGACCCATGGCTTGGACTTTTAAAAGGTGGTGTGGGTGTAGTTGCTGGTCATGGAGAACCCGCCAAGCAGTAGTTTGAGACGCTCCCATTTCATGTGCAATAGCACGCACGCTTGTACGCGGATTGGCCTCTACATGATGCAGAATCGCTGACACGAAGACGTCCATGAATCCTTGCAAAAATGGCGTGATGCGGATGAGGACGTTCTGGAAACCGTTGGGCGTAGATTCACGAGGCTCGTCTTCCGTTACCACCAGCTTCTCCGTAAATTAAATGCATATCCGCAAGTTCCGCATACGAATAACGCTGCATTTTAACACTAAGGTACTGTTATTTACTATCTAGTTTGACGCACCACTCAGATAAATTAAATGAATCGATGTGGAGAATTTACGATAACAAAAATGTAAACACAGCAGGCTTTTTTTTACAAATCGGCGAGACCATCAAATGTGCTAGACGAACATTTTGCAGCTGTTGAATTTTTTGTTTCTCCTATGAGCTCTTAAGGTAAAATTAGCGGTAGTGCTCAAACGGCATATTTACGAACAGGGGTTTATAAGGCAAAATTGCATATTTTTATGCCCTCTACAACCCCTATCATTTTGTCGCAATAATTATGGAACACCCTGTATATATATATATTGTTTTAAATTTTCGTCATATATGGATGTAATGTCAACACAAACCCTTCACTTTTATGTATTGCTTTGACAGTTATTTTTCATGCACAGTCAATAAAAGTTAGATAAGCAGTAATGAGATAATAAGAAAGACAGAGAGCTAATTCATTCTTACTGTTTCATGGAAGAAGTCGACTGCATAATTTCTTTCCATCTCAATTTCTTCCCTACAGAGTTTGCATTTTTTCCCAATACTGAATTATTGTTCATTTTGTAATATTTCTTTTATTTTGTATATTGTCACCAGAACCAGGTGAATATAATCTGGATGGCATTAAAGCAATCCACATGGAACATTATTTACCAAAATTGTTAGGAAATTAAATAAATGTTTTGAATAAATACGACTTTTATTTACTGATGTATAAGTAATCAACAGTGGAAGCACAAAACTCAAAGCAAGCAGTCAAGAGTTTGGTGCTCCTACTACACTTTTAAATAAAATATAATTTTACAATAGAAGTTTCTAAATGAAAGTAACTACAGTGTGATCATTTTTACCTGATAACATTTGAATCTGTTATAACTTTTGCTAATAAAGGTATTAATTTGAGTTGAAAAATAAATTCTAATCACTTAATGACTAACCAATGTTTTTTTATCCAAACTATAAACTTTAATAGTGAGACAGTTTTCGCAGACATAAAAGTTATCGCACAAATATCATAACTGTGCATAAAAATACTCTATATAAACTAAAAATAAAACCAAATGTTCTTCTAATAATATTCTTCAACTTCTTTAATTAGCGGATATTGAAAGTTTGTTAAAGCTGCACACAGTTGAAAAATAACTGAAATTTGGGATATATAATAAGGTGGAACCTGCTGCAAAATATTATAACATTTTATTCTTCTGATGGCTACATGAATTCTGGCTTTTGCAATTTGCTGTGTTTCAGATACCTGCGACTCTGTGAACTGGGGTGTAGTTAAAAAGGGTGGAATATTGAGCGACACCCCATCAGGAAGAAGGTCTTTAATTAAAAAACCTTTGTCTGCTAGAATCATATCTCCAGGAACCATTTGATTTAAAACATTGCTCTGTTCAACAATCTTCTTGCCAGATATCGACCCTGGATAAGCTTTGCTGACAAATGTTATTACCCCATTTGGTGCCACTCCTACCAAAACTTTCCATGTATTTTTGTGTTTATAAGAACTGAATGTCAACCTCTGATTTTCCATGTTTGCTGGAACTGTGGAGTAAATTTCTGTAGAGTCTATTCTACAATTTTTAAAAGTAGTAAATGCAGCAAAAAGGCAAGTTTGGTTTCTTTGTCTGGTTGGTATTGTCTTCATCAAATGTTCAAATAGCACTTCATGCAAAGCGTAAATCCAAGTCATAATAATAGTGGTAACAGTAGCTGTGCTGCAATTAAATCTAATACTCAGATCTTCATGGGGCAAATTCTGTCGTAATTTCATCAGTGTCATCAGAAGCTGATCAACTTTGGGGATATGTTGAACATTCCAGCCAGTATAATATTTTATTTGTATGTCATTCATTAGCTCAAAAAGAACAATGAACAATTCATTTGTTGGTATACCAGTGTACTTTAATATATGAGCATCATTCTTTTTTATCGCTTCAAAACTAAACCGTGTTGTTAACTTCTCTAATTTTTCAGTTAATTCATTAACTTGTTGTTTCAAAAAATAAATCTCTAATTAAAACCAGGAACTCACTTATTGAAAAATAACTGAAATTTGGGATATATAATAAGGTGGAACCTGCTGCAAAATATTATAACATTTTATTCTTCTGATGGCTACATGAATTCTGGCTTTTGCAATTTGCTGTGTTTCAGATACCTGCGACTCTGTGAACTGGGGTGTAGTTAAAAAGGGTGGAATATTGAGCGACACCCCATCAGGAAGAAGGTCTTTAATTAAAAAACCTTTGTCTGCTAGAATCATATCTCCAGGAACCATTTGATTTAAAACATTGCTCTGTTCAACAATCTTCTTGCCAGATATCGACCCTGGATAAGCTTTGCTGACAAATGTTATTACCCCATTTGGTGCCACTCCTACCAAAACTTTCCATGTATTTTTGTGTTTATAAGAACTGAATGTCAACCTCTGATTTTCCATGTTTACTGGAACTGTGGAGTAAATTTCTGTAGAGTCTATTCTACAATTTTTAAAAGTAGTAAATGCAGCAAAAAGGCAAGTTTGGTTTCTTTGTCTGGTTGGTATTGTCTTCATCAAATGTTCAAATAGCACTTCATGCAAAGCGTAAATCCAAGTCATAATAATAGTGGTAACAGTAGCTGTGCTGCAATTAAATCTAATACTCAGATCTTCATGGGGCAAATTCTGTCGTAATTTCATCAGTGTCATCAGAAGCTGATCAACTTTGGGGATATGTTGAACATTCCAGCCAGTATAATATTTTATTTGTATGTCATTCATTAGCTCAAAAAGAACAATGAACAATTCATTTGTTGGTATACCAGTGTACTTTAATATATGAGCATCATTCTTTTTTATCGCTTCAAAACTAAACCGTGTTGTTTTAACTTCTCTAATTTTTCAGTTAATTCATTAACTTGTTGTTTCAAAAAATAAATCTCTAATTAAAACCAGGAACTCACTTATTTCGTAAAATTTAAATAACATATAAACAACGACATAACCTTAAAAGGTTTTAAAACATTATTACTGTCCTAATATTACTTACTTGAAAAATAAATTAATACAAGTCTAGTCAAAGGCACGTTTTTAAAGTCAAATATTGTAGTTAAAGCTCTTATTTTCTCCTGGAAAATGACAAAAAACACTAAAAGAAAAATCCTTATGGGAATTCACCGTTATAACCGAATTTGTTTGGAGTCAATCTAAGCTCCGCCTAGTGGTGTTGAAAAAGTAATCATACGATACTCGAGTACTCGTTACTCATAGATACCCGAAGTAACGACTACCAATCCGAGCACGAAATGATTACTTGGTTACTTTGATTACTCTGTTTTCCGTATCCGTTCGGTGATCGGCTACCGGTACCCGTACAATCGGTGACCGTTGAGTGGCAACGCTGGTTTCACTGTAGCACTGCCGCTCATGCATCAGGGTTGCCAAACATCCCACAATCGGGTGGAAGCTCCAGATTTGAAAATAGTTATCAAATTCTATGCCCGCCAATAAAAAAAATGTACCTATTTATACCGTGACTCAAATTCGCTCTTATTGTTGTCATTTTCGCCACCTTAAAAGGGATAAGGAATCGATTGGATTGGAGCAAAGGTCGGCACCGATGGTCGGCACGTCGGCAGTATTATGATTATGAGTCGGAAAAGCGACAACAGGGTAACAGCACCCTTCATGAAACGCGTTTTAAATTGCGTTTGTTTTCTGACCTGGGTGACTTTGAGCTCTGAGATTTTCTGTTGCTTCTATACTTTTGTGAAACGGATTCCAGGTTCAAGGAATCAAGGATAGATAAAACAAAACCGGCATGAGATTCTTTTTCTGAATCTTTTTTTTATCCCGTGTTACCGAATTTTTATTTTTTAATCGTGAACAAATACAAGGTATGGCATTGTTTATTAGAGTTGGCATACAGTTATACTTTTTTCTATGACATTAGAAACATTGTGGGTTTTTTAAACATTGTATTTTGTTTTAGGTTGAAATGGACGTAAGTTTAAAGCGAAGTGAAATTTGGCTCCATTTTACGACTCTTTCTACGGGCAATGCTAAGTGCAATATAATGTGGCTCCAAATATTCTTATAGACGAGGATCAACTTCAAATCTTAAAAAGCACCTACAATTGAAACATTAACTTTTTTAACGCAACCTAAAACATTTCCAAAAACAGAATCAAATCATGCAAGTACTGAAGGTAAGACTACTCTATGATCTTCATTACATACATTCTCATTTTATTATAGTCCACATATGGGCAATTATTATTTAAAGATGTTTTAACATCATGTAGGCAAAGTTTGATTTCATTTTTCTCAAATAAGTGAGAGAAGTACTATGCCTAAATTTTCAAATTGAAGATAAAAGTGTTTTTGGACTTTGCTGTGTTCTATATTGGTTTCTCAGGTTCTTGAAGTTTGTACACTAACAATCTGTACTATTTATTGAAGCTAAATCAAACTTACTTGTATTGTAGGTCTATGATAGTTAATGCTATTTACTCCTCATGTTAAAGAATATTTATAAAGTTGTATAGATTTTTGTTTAATTTTACAAAATCTTCAGTGAATTGAAAAGTAATTGTTGCCTCATGATGGTTTTTACAGGAAGCAGTAGTATGGCAGCTTCGACCTCATCAACTATATCTCAGCAGATGCAATCTCCAACATCTGAGGGAAGTAATAAGGAAGAAGCCTTGCCATCATATCACTGCTAAGGACAAATAGCCAAACCACTTCAAAAAGGAAAGTTAGCTAGAAGATATTTATGCATTGTCGCTACATCAGTACCGTCTGAAAGAATTTTTTCTACAGCTGGACAATTAATTTCGGAGAGAAGAAATAGGTTGAAGGGAGAGAATGTAGCAAAAATCTTATTTTTACATTATAATCACGACCTATGAGTTTTTTGTAGACTCTTTTAGTCATTGGTTTGAGACTCACTTTCATTAAATAAAAAAATATAGTCATGTAGCTAATAATAGTGTAGTTTAATAATGTTTCAGTTGGATGAATCATTCCCAATTTTCCAGCCACTACCTCCTAATGACGATTTAGTTTGTAATTGCGTTTGTGCTACATTCTAAATACTGAAAACCAAATACCACTGACGTCGTAATGTGTACGAGAGAAAAGCGCGGGAAGCGTGCAATACGTGTGCTAAGAGATAGGAGCACCGCGTTGCAGAGCATCCCAAGTATAGGCTCACTGATGCCATCGGCGCACTCTTTCTAACAGATATTTCACGCTTTTCGCGCTTCTCTCGTACACATTACGATGTCAGCCAAATTTGAACCTCACCGTATGTCTTGTTTATGAGTTTTTATTGTTTGTTTCATTATATATTTTGATATTTTTTAAGCAAACCTGTGTCGTTTTGTTTTTAAGAAAATATATTTTTTTTGTTACATTCTATCTATGTGTTGTTTCTGTTTTTTATTTTCATTGCATCATTTATTCCGTTGTTTTATTGAGAACGCCTCTTTGGTTGTGGAATTAAGACTGAATATCTTTTATTTTCTTACAAAATATCGATGTTACTTTTTATCCAATAATAAAAAAAAATTCAATTTGACCATCAATAGTATGTATAGACTAAGCTCCATATGGATTTTTTTATACATGCATAATTTAAATGCTTCGAAAAGTTATTTGCCATTCCGTATTTGCCCAAGCTTTTCTAGTAAAAGGCATGTTTTTTAAGCAGTTTTAGTAAATACAAAGTATTTCATTATCTTGTAAGGAAAAAGAAAACCTAAAAACTAAAAATACTTTGTATTTACTAAAACTGCTTATGGTTAGTTCCATTGAAGTTGTTCAAATCCGACATTAATTAATTACGACACATGCTGTCAAATCGTTATACTCGGAGTAATCAAAGTAATCAAAGTAACGAATACAATAAATGATTACTTTGTAGAAGAGTAACGATTAGTAACGAGTACCCGAAAGTAACGAGAATCAACAACACTACCTCCGCCCATCGCTCTGACGTCTATTGAGATGCCTGAAATAGACAGCCTAACGGCCCGTTCACACATAATCTCCGTTTTACTGGTCCGTTTTATCGGACACGTTTTTTTTCGTCGGTGGCGTATATAGTTGTATGAGCGACTTCACACATGGTACAGTATAATGTGTAACGCTTCCTTTCCGCAAAAAAGTCCAGAAAAGATGGAATGCAATGAAGATTAAAACTTTTCTGCACAATCACAGAAAGGGGGTTACCATTAGCTTCCGGTAGCTCAGTCGATGGCATGAAGACATCTACAGGCGTGTAGCTGTGTGTCGAGCATGGCATGGCTAGAGGATAGAAGAACTAACAGAACACAAAAATTTAACAGATTTTATTTAACAAAAAAAGCATTTTCATTACATTACAATTTTAAAGTTTTAAAGAACAAAATAAGTTTTAAATCTTTGGCGCTGCTATAAAACCATACACTTATCTTTCGCTGGTCCATTTTGACTGGACTGAAGCGAGGATGGCCAGGTGCTTGAAGTGGAGGTCCCAGTTATGAGGGGTGACCTCACATATAGTGGCTTCAAAACCAGTTGCAGGCGAAGTTGAACTTAAAGGTGATAGCGCTGCCAAGGCACATGCATGGGTGAAGTGATAGGCCAAGCAATGCAAAGTCAAAGACAAAGGCAAAAGCAAAGTCAAAGACAAAGGCAAAAGTCAATGACCAATGCAAAGGGAAAGGGAAAGAGAAAGGGGGTGGCCCCAATCATTTTGTCCTATTCGGACACACATTCTACAAAATTCTAGCACATGGTGCTATGTGACCTCATGCTGCAGAGAACAAAATTCTTAGCGCTTGCTAGATCGGCGGCTCAAGTGAAAAAGAAGCGCGAGGAAGATCGCAGATCAGGAACTCGGCATCAAGCGCGCTCCAAGCGGAAATTTTTCCAAGTAAAAAAGCTAGAAATGGGATTAATGAAATGATAATCGAGAAGTGATTTAATAAATACGATCGGACGGAGAAACCGTTACACTCGCCCCTACTTAACCAGAAAAAAAATCGAAGAAGCATTCAAGAATTTTTTTTTATTTTCAAGGAAATTGAAAGTTATCACGGAAGGACAAATGTACAACCATTCGACCAGATAACAAGTAGCAAAAGTAAGGTAGAAACAAAAATGTTAGAAGATAATTGGAAGAAAAAGGGATAGCCTCAAGTCTACCACACAAGAGGGATGGTTATAGCACCAACTCGCTGAAAAGTACAATGAAGTTGCACTTAAAAAAACTATCATCATATGATGAAAAACCCAAAACATAAAACATCGTCACACCTAGGACGAGAAAAATAATAAACCAAAAGCTTCAGCAGTAGTCCAAGCACAAAGTGAGGAATCACAATGGCATCCAAAATGCACGACTGACTACTAAAAACTTCAAAACTAAGTAAGTACCTAAACCATAAGAGGTACTAAAAAAAAGAATAATAAACTTTCTCAAAACAATTGCCAGATTATCTCGCAATGCTCCACACCCAAAAAGAATATCATCTACAGTGATATTTTAAACCAATATCCAATATAAAAAAACAGTGCATTACTATTTTCAAAATATGAAAATCAAAAGAAATTAACAAATTCCATTAGGAATATAGTCATATAACAAAACAATGTACAAGTACTAAACCAATGAAAACTTGATCACGAAGGTATTTTAATCAAAAAAATGTTAAGTAAGTGCAGTTCTGATTCCACAAAAAAATTGTCGGGCGCCAGCAGTCCGTAAAGGGGCCTACAGACACACGAACATGTATTAAGACATGAACGCACGTCGACGTTTGCGCGCTGATGTTCGCCAGTGTGTAGACAAATCTCTAGTTAAAAGACCGACGCACATGCTTTCTGTTTTCGCTTGAATTTATGCCTGCACAGACTTGTACGCGCGTGTATGTATGCCTGTGTGTAGACAAAACGTACTAATTTTCACAGACTTAATTCAGTGGCGCGACTGCATTCGTGTATTCTGTTGTTAGGAGCAGGGGGGTCAACTTAGAAGTTCATTTAGTTTTGAATTTGTCAATATGGCAGATTTGAGAAGTTTTTCCAAAGAGTTTATAACAGAGTTCATAGAACTATACAAATCCTATCCATGTTTGTGGCGAGTAAAATCAAAAGACTATATGGATCGCAATAAAAAAAACGAAGCATATAAAGTGTTGGTGCTGAAGCTCCAAGAAGTTGAGAAAAATGACAACAAAGAAATGGTTAAAACTAAAATTAATAGCCTCCGAGCTAGTTTTCGGAGAGAACTAAGAAAAATTAAAGAGTCGAGAAGATCGGGTGCTGCAGCAGATGATGTTTATATACCACATTTATGGTATTATGATCTACTTTTATTTATAAAGGATCAGGAAATCCCTAGACAATCCATTAGTAATATTGAAGATGTTGGAAGCGACAGTGAAATGGACAGTTGCCATTCAGAAATGGAAAATGAAGACGCTCTAGAACTGGAGGTAAGGCCTGATTTATTTATTTGACTTTTACTTCCCACGCCAACTGGAGAGGAAAAGAGGAAGTATTGTAATAATAATAATAATAATAATAATAAATTGCTTTTATTGCTCATGTAAGTACAGAAAAAGAAAAAGTACATAAATCTGATGCAGTGAGCAAACGGTAAGGTTTGCTTGATTGACAACCATTAGCTGTCAATCCGCGCTCTTCCACCTAACCAAATCGCGAATAATTTCGAAAATGAGGTATTATATTTTATGGATGGTATATAATATATAACACATATATATATAAAAAACATGGATATGCTTGAACCGATAAAATCAATGCGTGGGAAGTGCGGAGTCAACCTACTTGATGCCATTTTTTGATTTCATGTAAGAAATAATGAAGTAGTACACATATTAATATAGAGGGTAATACAAAATCGTCTTGATATTTTGATTCGCTTTACTTCAACTTAAGTACTTAGAAGGTATAATACATAAATTAGCAAATCATTCTTTCCTGCTAAGCTACGGATCCCTCATTATTAAAGTAGTTCAGAAATAACTGTCTAACTTCTTGTGCATCCTTGTTTGCTCTTCTATTGTAACCCCGTTGCAAACTAGTCATCTGATTGGGTTGCAAGCCTAATTCAACAGTGCCATCTTCATGGTTCTCCCTGTATAAGTTGTTATCAGGTGCATACACAGTTGCAGTTCTTCTTCTCAGAAAATTATGCAGAACACAACATGCCATCACTACTTTGTCAATTGCTTTTAAGTTAATAGATATAGCTGTGTGGAATATTCTAAATCGAGCAGAGAGTATACCGAAGCATTCTCTACTCTACATCCTTGCCCTTGAGAGACGATAATTGAACATTTTCTTATCATGATCCAAGTCTCTCTGGCTAAATGGTTTCAAGAAATCACAGCGGAGTGCAAACGCTTCATCACCTATAAAAACAAATGGCAATGCTTCTTTACTGTTCGTTGTTCTTGTTGGAGGTGGTATGGAGAGTTTCCTATCTTTAAGCTTCCGGTAAAACTGGCTGTACTCAATAACTCCTCCATCAGATATGCGGCTGTTGATCCCGAAATCACACATAATGAACTCGTAATTTGCGTTGACCACTGCCAAGAGCACTAGGCTGTATGCTCCTTCATAGTTATAAAAATATGAACCACTTCCGGTGGGCGGTTTTATATTGACATGTTTTCCATCTACCGCCCCCAGGCAGTTCGGACAGTTGCATCTCTTTTCGAAGTCATCTGCAATATTTCTCCATTCATTCTCGGTCGTGGGGAACTGAAAAAAAATCAAAAATATATATTTTTTTGCATAAAACTAGATATGATGTAAATGAAAGTCAAGAGAGTGAGCTGAGCTCAGTACCAAGTCCACCAATATCCAGACCTTGTAGTAGTCAAAATGTACGTAAAATTTCCAATCCAGAAAACATTGTACCGCTGCCTGCAGCTGGAAATCGGGGAAAAAATAAACGCAAGACAAACTCTGATAACCAAGAAGCAGACAACGTGTTGGCGGCGGTAGGAGAAAGACTACATTCCAAGAATGACGATCAATTCGCCATTTTTGGGAAAAATGTCGCAGCAAAATTGAAAGGACTCCCAAAAGAAACCAGATTATACACTGAGAAACTCATAAATGATCTGCTGTTTGAGGCTGAAATGGGTAACGTGTCCAGAAATACTAGGATTGTTTCGTCAGGAGACAATGAACAGAATCAAAACAATTTTTCCATTAATAGCGTTGTTGATGCTTGCTACCCTAATCAATATAACTACAATTCAACTCAACCTATAAATATATCAGGCACACAAAATCAAGCTCAAACTTATTTGCTACCAGCTATGCCACTTAAGCCCCAGTGCCATCAAAGCCATCCTC